TCCTCTAACAAATTTTGTTCACCATGTCATAATATGGGGTTCTTTGTATTTTCCATGATTCTCTTTGTGCTTGCTGTTACTCAACTGATCTGTATGGTTTCAAGTGTAACACAGAAACATGCCACACCAAATCGACATCCTACCCCATACAACTGCATCAAATATGCATTTTGGGAAGGTAGAAATCTTGGAAGGTACATATTTTGGGAGTATATATTCAATCATCAGAATGAATCCTACTGCATAATATATATTCAGGATACACCCCATTGCTGAAGAATATATTTGACAACTATATCTTGAACCCACATATATCTTTCCACTAAATCCTGAACCAAAATATATATTTTCAACCATATCATGAATCCAGATACATCATTTCTGAACTATATTATAAATATTTTAATTATATGCTGAACCAAGATATATTTATCAACAATATCCTGAATCAAGATACATTATTTTCCAAGTATATCTTGCATTTTCCCACTACATTCTCAACCAAGATATATTTTTATACTACATCCTGAACCAGGATATATTCACAAGACATATCTTCAAACCATATCCTGAACCAGGATATATCTTTCAACTATATATAGAACCAGGATATATTACCAAGATATATTCTCAAGCTATATCTTGAACCAGGATATATTCTGCAGACATATCTTTAAACTAAACAGAACATCTTTTTGATATATTTTTGAACTGTATCCTGAATCTATTGACAGATGTATCTGTAAATTTCACTAGACAAAGGTGCAATTTATTGGATAGAACTACATACATTTACATTACTACATTGACTATCAAATAAAAAAATAAAGAGAAGGGGAGGGAGTAAGGGAGAGGGGGTGGGGGTTGGTGGGCAATAAGGGAGGGGAGAAAGGAGTGGTAGGAAATGAGGGAGGGAGGTGAGGGTGGTGGGCAGTGAGGGGGAGGGGATAGTGGGAAGTGAGGTAGAGGGTGGAGGAAGAGGGGTGAGAGTGGTGGGCAATGAGGGAGAGGGGAAGGGGTGGTAAGCAATGAGAGAGGGGTGGTAGGCAAAGAGGGGAAGAGGGGGGAAGGACATGGGTGGTAGGCAATGAGGGAGGGGGAAAGGTGATAGGCATTGAAGGAGAGGGGTAG